GAAGGGGCTTCCCATTGATTCACCCAATTACCAATAGTGTTGCATTAAGGCCTTTGTTTCAACCCCATCAATGTCAGATTTATTAATCCCACTTATTAATAATTGTCTATGATTTCTACTCTGCTGGGATATGTCCCTTGACTTGTTCCTTTGTCTTTCCTCACTTTCTTGTGAATTGCCCTAATTTTCTTAGCATGTGTAAGCCTAGTAAGGGCAAGCTAAGATAACAAAGCCAATGAAGTTTCTCTTACCATTGTTTGATTTTGCAGAAGTAAGATTACATGGGATTCCCTTGTAAATGCAGCCCCCTTAATCTTGGGATTTACTGTGATCTGGGTAAGGGGATATTCAGTGGATGAATACCCTGGTCGTCATAAAGCCAGTCTAAACATGGCTTGCACATAAAGCATATCATCAGACCCTTTATTTGAAGAATTCCGTTTGGCATTTTTTGGAGGACAACAATTTGCCTTCTCAATGTAACAAACTTTGTAGCAGCTTTTATCTAGTCAAGCAGACTAGCTGTCCCTAAGGAATAACTTGCTATGTTTGGACCATGCATAGCTATCTACAATGGTTCAACAGAGAGCTGTGGATCTCACATCAAACCAAGCATGTTCTTCCATTCTGCAGTATTCAAAACCAAGGATGCTGACCCTGTGTTAGTCAGTTTCACAATTATTTCAGTAAAGGTTTCACAAGAAGCTGATGATAAGTCTCTGCAAAATGACACAACTCTTTCACATCATTCCTCCTGCTTTCAATAGTTTCTTGGTTTTGTCTTCCTCCAACATGGATAAATATCTCCATGACCAGGTGTTGTAACCATGCTGTCTGTTGTCCCAGCATATTTTTTCGTTGGCAGTGACCCTTAGGCTAGTGGCCATAGCTCAGGCTGGCTGACATCTGAGCTTGGCCCACCATCAGGTCCCACCCAATGCTCTCTTTCATTTTCACTTTAGCTATTACAGGTAGCAATAATCAAGGGATTGTCTATTTGGCTTATTTCTTACTATTTTGCACTTCCTTATATATTCAGTAAGCCAACTCCTTGGGAGTTGGATCTACCACTTCTAAATTCCATTGGTAACTTTTACCTCTAGTAACTGATCACAGTGCAGATACAGTCCAACAGCACAGATGACCTGACAGCCATCCAAGAATTAAAGGTTCATCAATACCTGCCCTCTCATCCTTTTTCTTCCCAAACCATACATTTCAGTGAGTCAGGGTTGATCTAGTGAATGGAAATCCAGATGCCAACTGCAAAAGTCACCTAACTATGAAGTTGGGGAAATAGCTCATAAGACTGCCCTCACTCTGACACCAATTGTTAAGTCTGGAGATCCCCAAGACCATCCTCAGGTTCAAACATTCATTAGAAGGACTCACAGAACTCACTTAAAGTGATTATACTCACAGTTACAGTTTATTCCGGGCAAAGGAGACCACAGATTAAAATCATCTAAAGGAAGAGACAGCGAGGGCAGAGTCCAGGAAAATTACCAAATGTGGATCTTCTCATTGTCCTATTCCTGTGGAGTCAGGTAGTATCACTTTCCTGGCATGGGTACATGACAGTGCACACTGAGTATTGCGAACCAGGGAAGCTCACCTAATCCTCCGTGTCTAGAGTCTTTATTGGGAGCCATCATCAGGTAGGCTTGGTTGACTGCCCAGTGGCTGATGTCAGTTTTTCAACCCCTCAGGAGGTCAATAATGTTATTGTCTGGCCCAAGGGCAAAGAAAGACACCCCCGTCAGGCAGAACATTCCAAGGACTTAGAGGTCACCTCCCAGAGGCTGAGGGAAAAGGCCAGACCTCTTTTTGGACAAAATTAAATTATTTCCTATACAACAAGTTTCAAGTCTATTGAAAACCCCCAGGAAAACCGCAGAACAAAATTTAACAGCATTTTCCTTTCCTTCCACACAAACGCACGGCTGGGGGAAGGATCCCGTCTCTGACTCTGGATATTCTGTTCATCCTGAGAACTTGACTTCAAGAAAAGAGGAAGAACCTAGTGAATTGAAGAAAATTTCATGAGATTCACTGATCTGTCCTAGAAAATTTTTGGATTTCTGTGAAAGAGTTTCCTACCATTGATAGGAAAGCAATAAACACTATACTGAAGTTTTCCGCTTTTTACAGATGTGAGAAAGTTTTCTCTTGTTTGAACAACCATCAAGAACAGAAACAGATATTGTCTCATTTGAGGTGAAAATGATATCTGTGTGGGCTTGTCACAAGTTTGACCTAGAATTCAGTATTTGTACCATAATAAAGAACAGGTTTTAGATGAGAGATATACATTTCTTTCTTCATTTTTAGTTTCAAAACTTTGTATGCACATGTAGGCCTATAAAAGAGATAAAGAAACTGATACATATGTCTAATGATTTTGTACCTGCTAGACCTTTATTTGAGCCTGATCATGTTACTCAATGAGAGTTTTTTTTTATACATTTTTAATAAGTTGCATTGGTGGTATAGTGTAAGCACAGCTACCTTCCAAGGTCTTAACAAATCAGTGTGTTAGACTATATTTTTATTCATATTGCTTTGGCTTGTGATTAATTGCTTTACTCTCCAGTTCTGTCAAAAATGTTTATATAGTAAATAACATTAAGATAAATTTATAACCCTTATTTAAATAAATCTACCAAACTGACCTTTCAAAAATTCAATTCCTTTTGGTTTAATCCAGTTATTTAAGGGAAATGTATTATGTTTGTCTTAGAGTTTGTAAAATATATGAAAAGGTAGGAAAGAGATTAATTTCAGGTAAGGTTATCTAATCTTTCGCTACCTCATTGTATTCAAGATAGATTGGCTTAAAAAACTTGTTAACTTTAAACAGGAGAAATAACTGCTCTTGCATGTATCATATACCACGTCCCATACCTCATTAGCATGTCTTAGAATATGAATGTGTGATAAGACTTTTGAGGTCTGCTTGCAGAAGACTTCTTGAAAATCAAGTAGGATTTTTTTTTTTTTAAGGAAAAACAGAAGTCTCCTAAACTACACTGGCTTGCAGTAGACTAAAAAACAGGCCACATTGAACAGATCGACAGAAAAATATCATTCCATTTTCAAAAGAACACTAAGAATTAATCCTGGGTGGTTACTTTCATAATTTACTGTCATAATAATAGTAGATGCTTTAGATGGAATAGTGTTAATGCAAGGATTCCTTGAGAACTGATGATTACTTCAAAAGTCTTCCTTCAAAGTAGGAAGATTGAGAATGGACTCTCTAGAACCTACTGACACTATGTCAGTGTGACTTGGGTTTGTGTACCCTCTTCTTCGCTCACTTTCTAATCCTTGAGGATTGAGAAGAGCAGAGTTCTGCTGACCGCCAACCCAGGACACCCAAAAGGCAGGATCCCTTATGAAATCCCTTCCCGCGAGTGGAGCACCAGTGCCCCAGTGTCGGCATCAGCTTTGCTGTGGGGCTGAGACATGGTTGCGAGTCTCCCTGCATTCTCATGAGCTCCTTTGGTCAAAAAGCACAGAATTGCTGTCTAATGAGGTAAATATAGTATGTGCTGATTCAAAAAGATGTCGGAGTCATATTTACGTGAAAAAAATAAGTCACAAAATGGTATATAGTGTGCAAATATATTTATGGAAACACACAGAGTTATATAAGTTCCTGGCTATGTGTCCGGAGACACAGAGGTGAAAACTATAGGTTGTGAAATGTATATTTTGGTCCCTTCTTTCCTGGCTTCTGGCCACAGCTACTGAAACCTTTATAATTTCCTAAGACATAAAGGTGCTTGGAGTATCTTTTTTTTTTTTTTTTTTTTTTGAGACAGAGTCTCACTTTGTTGCCTAGGCTAGAGTGAGTGCCGTGGCGTCAGCCTAGCTCACAGCAACCTCAAACTCCTGGGCTCAAGCAATCCTTCTGCCTCAGCCTCCCGAGTAGCTGGGACTACAGGCATATGCCACCATGCACAGCTAATTTTTTGTATATATATTAATTGGTCAATTAATTTCTTTCTATTTATTGTAGAGATGGCGTCTCGCTCTTGCTCAGGCTGGTTTCGAACTCCTGACATCGAGCAATCCGCCCGCCTCGGCCTCCCAGAGTGCTAGGATTACAGGCGTGAGCCACCGCGCCCGGCCTAGGAGCATCTTTTTTTCAAATATTTGGTCTTTGGCCCCAATTCCTGACACAGAGCTCCTAAATCCTTTAGAATTTCCTGTGTGCTAGGAACATCTTTTCTCCTAATGAGGTGACACTTCCTGGGCACCTTGACAGGGGCTGGTCAGCAGGAAGACCAAGCCACGATTAGAAGCTTGGAACGTTCAGCCCCACCCCCAGCATCAGGGAGGGGACAGGAGCTGGAGATTGAATTAATAATCGATCTTGCCTACATGATGAGGCCTCCATACAAATCCCTAAAAGACAGAGTTCAGACAGCTTCTGCGTTGGTGAACACAGCCACGTGCCGGGAGGGTGGTGCACCCCAACTCCACGGGGACAGAGCTTCTGCCTTCAGGACCCTTTCAGACCTTGCTCTATGTACCTCTTCACCTGGCTGTTCATCTGTGTCCTTTATCATATCCTTAAAAATAAACGGGTAAGGCCGGGCGCGGTGGCTCACGCCTGTAATCCTAGCTCTTGGGAGGCCGAGGCGGGCGGATTGCTCAAGGTCAGGAGTTCAAAACCAGCCTGAGTAAGAGCGAGACCCCGTCTCTACTATAAATAGAAAGAAATTAATTGGCCAACTGATATATATTTAAAAAATTAGCCGGGCATGGTGGCGCATGCCTATAGTCCCAGCCACTCAGGAGGCTGAGGCAGAAGGATTGCTTGAGCCCAGGAGTTTGAGGTTGCTGTGAGCGAGGCTGATGTCACGGCACTCACTCTAGCCTGGGCAACAAAGTGAGACTCTGTCTCAAAAAAAAAAAAAAAAAAAATTTCAATGACTCTTTTATAATCCTCACCCTTAACTAACTACCTGACCTCTTGCATTTTTTCCCAGAAATGGTGGATTTTCAGCCAGACAAAGGAGCTGAGATTCTGAAGTCCACTGGACAGACTTCCTTACAAGATCCAACACCCCCACAACCTGCCCCCAATGCACGGAGCCCCTTGTTAGTTACACCACAACCTGCTCCAAGGCACGTGGCCCCTCCTTTAAAAGGCCACGATCTCTGTTAGTCGAAGAGACAGATTTGAGGCAGCTTCTCCCGTTCTCTCTACAAGACGTCTGTCTTATTAAAAATTCCTTTCTTTTTTGGCACTTCTGTTGTCTCAATGGTTAGTTCTTTGTGTGACAAGTATCTGGACCTCACAACTGGACCTAGATGGAAATCCCCTTGCTGTTTCGACAACACCACTCCCTGCAATTGGCATCTGAAGTAGGGGCAGTCCTAGGCGACTGAGCCCTTAACCTACGGGGCCTGCACTAACTCCGGGCAGTTTATGTCATAACTGAATCATAGGACACTCAGTTGGTGTCCCAAGAGTAGTAAAAAAGCCCCACACATTTGGTCACAGAAATGCTGGAAGTGTTGAGTGTAGTAGAAAAAAACCGTTTGTTTCTCTCTTTAAGGTAAATTGAGGGGAGAAGTGCAGAGGGAGAATAGAAGGAAAGAATTTTAAGAGAAATAAAACTGTTTAATATAGCAAATGGAGTGAGAGCTGCTGTATACAAAATGACAAAGTTAACAAAGTAATATACAAGTCATCCTTATAGCAATTTGCAGTATCCAAACATGTTCATATATATGTGCCTGTGTATGCTGTATATGTATAGATAACATAAATGTGTATGTGTGTATAAGTTCTCTGCCCAAAGATAGCACAGACTGGTTCTTTCCTGGTGCAGGAACGCTGTGTTATACCTTCAAGACCTGAGTCGTATTACTATTTGTTTTGAATTTAAGAAATTAAAAAGCCAAGCAGGCCGGGCGAGGTGGCTCACGCCTGTAATCCTAGCTCTCTGGGAGGTCCGAGGCGGGTGAATTGCTCGAGGTCAGGAGTTCAAAACCAGCCTGAGCAAGAGCAAGACCCCGTCTCTACTATAAATAGAAAGAAATTAATTGGCCAACTGATATATATATATGTAAAAAATTAGCTGGGCATGGTGGCACATGCCTGTAGTCCCAGCTACTCGGGAGGCTAAGGCAGTAGGATCACTTGGGCCCAGGAGTTTGAGGTTGCTGTGAGCCAGGCTGACGCCACGACACTCACTCTAGCCTGGACAACAAAGTGAGACTCTGTCTCAAAAAAAAAAAAAAAAAAAAAAAGCCAAGCAAATACTTACAAGACTAGGTTCTAATGCCGGTTACCTTGTCAAGAGTGCACACCACTTTTCTGCTCAAATGCACACTTGGACTTATAGCTGTGACAGCCGGATAAAAGGAGGCATACTTTGGAAAGAAACTGCCTGGAGTACAGGGATTAATATTTCCATACATTTAAGCCTGACTCCAAAACTGGCAATGGAGCCTGTATCTAACCAAGTCTTAGTACATACAATATTTGAAAAAGAAGAGGTACATTCTGTCCCAAGGACTTTGGAACAGGCAGCAGGAAAATAGTAGCCAAGAAAACCTTTACAGAACAGCGCAGGCTGAGACTGGGAGGTGCACCTGCTGGCGGGCCAGGCAAGGGGCTCCATAGTTAACTTGGTTGCCTACCCTCAGCCTGCACTGAAACGACCCCACCCCTGACTTCAACAGGTACGTTGGGTCAGTACACAATGTTACTTGAGTTTTAGCTCATACATTTTATCCATTTCATGACTGATTTGAGAAAACATCATGACTTAGAAGTTAACCACTTAGGTATGAGCGTCGACTATAGTCGATAGGCACAGATGAACGTGCACAGCGACTTTAGCTGACAGCTGTGATATGACTTTTCTAATTTTTCATTTATCAAAATAAAATTGTGAACATTTAAAAATAATGTAATGAAAACATATATATATATATGTTACCAATTCTGATTTACATTACAAGTGAAGCTGCCTGTAAAATAAAACAAGCTTTCAGTGCTTTAAAGCTTTCCTCATCACACAAGAGCAAAACGGATTTGTCGTCAGTGCACAGCACAGACTATCGTGGGGACTATGAGTGCCGGCTGTGGGCAAGGTTTGGCGGCTGGTGAGTGCCATACCGAAGTGGTTAAGAGCATGGGTCTTGAAGACAAATCTCCGTGCTGATGAAGAATGACTGTATAGGTTGGGCAGGTTATTTAACTTTTCTATGACTCAGTTTCCTTATGTGTAGAATGGGGATAGCACCACCCACCTCAGTGGGTTTTTATAAAGATGAAAACACCTAATGAGCCTTAGTTTGGCACATAGTGAGCAGTACAGAAATGGACCCATGAATAGAAGCAACTGCTCTAAAACCCTCCTTAGGAAGAAAGAGCCTGATTTTAACAGAGAAAAAACATCAGCTGTGCTGCACACCCTTTCTCTCCAGCTGAATCTTGTCTTTGTCTCCCTGGGTCTCAAGACACAATCCTAATGATCCTACAAGAGGCTCAAGGCATCTACAGAGGACAGATAATAAGATGGAATGTGAGTTTTTAACAGACCAAGAAACTCCAGATGATAAATGTCAGTCTATCATGTGCAAACTTGACTCTGGAAAAGTATAAAATATTGACCCTGCTCTTAAGGAGCTATCAGCCTGATGGGTGTGGGAGGAGGGGCAGGGGAGAGACTTAGAGTTTGGTTGGAAAGACAGACATGCAAAACATTGTAGGTGCAGTTATGAAGCTTCCCTACAGAATGATTATTTCTACAGCGGGTGATGGTTTTGCTGAATCTGATGGAAGAATAGGAACAAGACAGGTAATGGGAAGATGCAAGCATAAAATGCAAGATAATTGTTACGTTTATAGTAAAAGGAGCTTGTGAAGGCGTTGGCAGATGAAGCTGGAAAGATCGGTCAGGGACAAATCAACAAAATTCCAGTGCAAGAAGCCAGGGAATTTAGACTTTCATTGTCAAAGCCAAGGGAGAGCCTTTGTTGAATCATCGCAACGAGACAGACTTGATCAGCTTTTAACCTTGGAAAGATCACTCCAGCTTGGTTTGGAAGTAAGAGCAGAAGAGAAGCTCTGGCTACACTCCAGGCAAGACAGGGGACCACTCTAACAAAACCCAGCAACAGTGGAATCAGGAGAAGGTCGACTAGAAGATAGCAGGTATAATATTAGCAGGGCTTGGTGGTAATTCAATGTGGAAGACGTGAGAAGTGGCTGACTGAGGTTTCCGCTTGGACAACTGCATGGATAGTGGTCCTATCACACAGGAAACACAAGTAAAGGCACAGGGGTCCCGGGAGCTGAGATTCAGAGAGGTCACTGTGCACTGTGGTGATAAGCAAACCTGTACAAGAGGCCCTTTGTGATGGACAGAATGGGATTTGGTGTCTTTCAGTAGAACACTCAGTCCTGGTTTGAGGCTTTGATGACTCAGCAAAGTGATGGCTGGAAAGAGGGCTGGGAGAACTCGTGGGTGTGTCCTGGGAGGCAGGAAAAAGAAGGATGGCCTGATTTAAGGGTAGAGAGAACGGCAGCTGCCCAGAAACCCGAGGACCTGCCCATCTGGAGAGCCACTCCTGTCACTGTGATTCCTTCAAGGCCTCAGTGAAAGCAACTGGACCCTCCACCAAGGTAATAAGAGTGTATTTTGAGTATTTTGTCTAGATATACATACATTCTTCTAAACAAACCACATGCCTGAGACTGGTGTCCCATCCCTTAGGCAAGAGAATACCATAGAATAGTATATAAGCAAAGACTTCCCAAGAGGTAAGTAGGCACATATATTTTAAGAAATCAATTTCTTCATTTATATGAAAAGTTTAGGAAAGGCAAATCTATAAAATTTATAGATTCAGGAAGTAGATCAAGGTATGGAGCCCAGGGTTGGACCAGAGATTAACTGTGAAAGGCATGAGGGGTTTAAAGTTACTAAAAGTCACTGAATTAAATGTAATGATATGTAAAATATACTTCAATAAACTTTTTCTTTTTGAGACAGGGTCTTGCTTTGTAGCCCCAGCTAGATAGAGTATTGTGGTGTCATCATAACTCACTGCAGCCTCAAACTCCTATGCTAAAGTGATCCTGCTTCAGCCTCCCGAGTAGCTGGAACTGCAAGCTTGCACCACCATGTCAAGCTATTTTTTCTTTTTTTTTGTAGAGATGAGGTTTCACTCTTGCTCAGGCTGGCCTTGAACTACTGTCCTCAAGAAATCCTCCCACCTTGGCCTCCCAGAGTGCTAGGATTCCAGGAGTGAACCACCATGCCTGGCCTAAAGTTGTTTTTTTAAAAAGGAAATCAATATTCAGATCTTTAATTTCCATGCGTGATCTTTCCTGAAAATGATCTGCCCAAGAAAGTCCCTGTGTTCAAGGTTAGGTAAAATTTGCTTTGCCTTTTTCCCCTTTTACTTAGACAAAAAGGAATAAAGTCATATTCTTCTATTTTTTATTTTTACTATGGTGTGTTGACTCAGAATGAAGAATCCTCCCTGTTGCCAACAAACAGATCATCCTAAATATCAGTTACTAGGTTGTCTCCTTTAATGAATGATTAAGGCATAGGGGTTCCCATCTTTCTCTGTCTTATACTTAATTTTGTTAAGAGAGTAGCCTGGTATTAGAAATAAAGTGTTTCCATCTGTGTTGGGAATTCTGAATTCAGATATATTATGAAATGGTGCAGTGGGGCCAGGCGTGGTGGCTTATGCTTGTAATCCTAGCACTCTGGGAGACCGAGGCAGGGAGGATTGCTTAAGATCAGGAGTTTGAGACCAGCCTGAGCAAGAGTGAGACCTCCCACCCCGCCCGTCTCTACTAAAAGTAGAAAAATTAGCCTGGTGTCATGGTACGCACCTGTAGTCCTAGCTACTTGGGAAGCTGAGGCAGGAGGATCGCTTGAGCCCAGGAGTTTGAGGTTGCAGCGAGCTATAGTGACACCGTGGAACTCTAGCCCAGGCAATAGAGGGAGACTCGGTCTCAAAAAAAAAAAAAAAAAAAAAAATGGGGCAGTGGATGTGTTGACAATTTTCCTTTAAGGACCTCCCATTTCCACACCTCAGCTCTTACCAAGGAATACGTACGGGGGAGCGTTCTCCAAGAGCAAGGCAACAATAGCATTGATACAAAACAGTAATGCTGCAGCTAGTTTTTCCAGGTATTTAAACATATGCAATTCTCTCAGCTCTTCTCCACACTCACCCACAGGTTGTGTTATTAGCTGGAGGGAACAAT